CCATTCCCTTCTCCAGGGAATCTTCCCAACCTAGGGATCAAACCCCGGTCTCCCACATTGCAGATGGATTCTTTACCGTCTGAGTCACTAGGGGAGTCCCTACAGATGTGAGAGCTGGACCATAAAGAAGGCTGAGTGCAGAAGAATTGATGCTTTAAAACTGGTGTTGGAGAAGCCTCTTGAGAGCCCCTTGGACTACAAGGAGATCAAACCAGTCAATCCTAAAGGAAATCAACCCAGAATATTCATTGGAAGGACTGATGCTGAAGCTGAAGCTCCAATACTTTGGCCACCTGATGTGAAGAGCTGACTCATTGGAAAAGACCCTGATGCTGGGAAGGATTGAGTTGGTGAAGGTAGAAACTATTCACACCTTGTCCTGCAGTCTCCCTCCCTCAGATGCCCCTGTGCCCAGGCCCCTGTGACAGCCAAGGAGCCAGGATTACTGACCCTGTAGACAAGAACAGTGGCTGTACTTCCCAACTGGAAGTCAGGCAGGATGTAGGTATGACAGTGGGCTGAACAAATAGGCAGTTAGGGACCTCTCAGCACAGCAGAGAGGGGAACAGCTGTGATCCTAGGTCCTCACGGCCGAATCCCAGTGCTAAGCAGTGTGGGGTTGACCAACACAATGCAGACACTGGCTAAGGCCCTGCAAGAGCAGATATTCAATAGATGTTATTGTTTCCCTCCATCTATTTTTCTGGACTGAGAATCTAAGTTAAACAGCTCTACCTTCTCCCTGGTGCCAAAAGAGGATGAGTGCCCCTCCCCTAAGGATTATACCCTTTCCATCTGGGCTGCCAGGATGCTCTAATTGTTCTGCACTTTAATAAGGCACAGAGGGCTCATTATGTAAATTCAGACAAATATACACACACACCCCAGATCATAAATTACATATATATTAATAAACATTTTAATTAACACTTATCAACTGCCAACAAAGTGTTAGGTGTAAATAACAGGTGGATGTAGGGTGAAGTAATAAGACTAGAAAGCCACTGCTTCTCTCTACTCCATACAAGAATTTTAACAAACTGTACATGCTGTTTTTAAAAGTAAGCTTATAAGTTTGCCTGAAGCCTGAAACAATCAACAGTATACAAATTCTTATCATTGTTTGCCATTTAAATGTAAGTATTAATTAACATTTGTACGGTGTATCTCATTCCAGAGTCATTCATTCATTCATTTATTCATTCATTCAACAGATATTTAATAGAGGCAGCAAGCATTGTTCCGGGCACCAGGATACAGAAGTGAGTAAAGAAGACAAAATTCCTGATCTTAAGATATTTACATTCTGGTGAACAAAGATAGACAATAAAGAAATTAACCAGTACACAAGTAATATTAAATGATAATAAGAACTATCAGAAAATATAAAAGTGGGGTAGAGTGAATAGGGAGTGTTTGCCTGTGTGTGCATGTGCTTGCCCATTGCTTTTTTACATAGAGTGGGCACAGAGGCCTCACAGATTAGGTGACATTTGAGTGACAGGACTTGTTGATGGGTTGGATATAGGGTGTAATAGAAAGAGGTATTAAGTTGGCCGCCAGGGTTTCCATTTTAGCAACTGGAAAAGTGAAATTGCCACATACTGACATAGAGGAAGCCTGTGGGGTGCAGTGCAATTTTGGGAATTTGATTTTGGATGTGTGATGTCAAGGAGGCAATTAAATGCACCAATCTGAAATTTGGAGAAAAGATTGGGACAGGAGACATAAATCTGAAAGTCTTTGGCTCGTAGATTTTTAAAAAAAAAAATATTTATTTGACTGTGTTGGGTCTTAGTTGCAGTATGCAGGATCTTTGTTGAATCATGTGGAATCTTTCATTATGGCCCACAGACTCTCTAGCTGTGGTGTGTGAGCTCAGTAGTTGCAGTACACAGGCTTAGTTACTCCACGGCATGTGGGATCTTAGTTCCCTGACCAGGGATCATACCCATGTCCCCTGAATGGCAAGGTAGATTCTTAACCACTGGACTGCTAGGTCCCAGCTTGTAGATTTTCAAAAACATAAGCCAGATGTGACCATCAAGGGAATGAGTGTGGACAGAGAAGAGATCCAAGAACTGGATCTGCTCTCATGACCTCATCACCTCCCAAAAGCCCCACTTGCAACCATCATGTTGGGGATTAGGTTTCAACATATGAATTTGGTGCAGGCGAGGGGATACACAAACATTCAGTCTTTGGCAGATACTCTATAACTGTGGTCCTGAATTGATTCTGAAGTGCTGTTTCCTATCTCTGAGGAGGTGTAAGTTTTGAGTGGTCTTCTGCTCCATGCTGTTTCTGCTGCTGTCAATGTGCCCATAAAGCTCTCTCCTCCCTGGACCAGGCCTCTGCATGGTCAGACAGTTTGGGAAGGAAGACAATGGAAGTATGACAAAAGACTGCAGGGCCTGTGGGTGGGATTTGAAACCTCAAACTGGAATCCAGAGCAATGGCACTGGAAGAGAATGTGGCCATTTCCATAATCCAGAGTTTTCATGACTTGTGGAGTCCAAGATTCTGAGGACATCCCTCAAGAGATGATGCTTCATTTTCCACTGTGAGCTCTGAGACAGATTTCATTTAAATGAAAATTCTATGGCTTAAAATAAAACTTGAAATCCCCTAAAATCTAGTCCAGTGCTGTGCATCAAATGGTGACTCCTGTATATCACTTCCTTCCAAAAGAACCAGAGTACCTTGAAGAAATGGCTGATTCCATGTTTGGGCCAGGAAGAGTACAAGGTTAACCTGAGATAGCTGGTGACAGAAAGTAAGGAAGGAAATGCATTGAAAAACACTGGACCAGCTTGAAGGAACTCCTAATGACCTCCTTTGGGAAACTTTGAACATCAAAAATAATAATGACCATGTTTGATTATAAAACAAGGAATAAAAATCCATTATAGTTACACTAAAAATTTAAAGAAAATTACACAAAGCGGAAAACGTCTTTGTCACCATTGGAAGTGATTCTTATGCTAATATCTTACTTGAATATTAGTAATTAAAGAAAGAACAATTAGCATTTATCTTGCCTTTTTAGGAAGAATTATAATTCTGCCTCAGTTGATTATAGAAAGCTTTTCTTTACAGAAGACAACTAACAAATGAATAAGGAATGAAATGTTAGAAAAATTACCACTGTGTACCCCAAAACATAATTCTTGAGTAAAAAAAAAGATCATCAATGAATGCTAAAACCATTGAGGAAAGGTTGATGGGGAGCAAGATATTTTCATATGCTGAAGTATCACCATACAGAAAACTGCAAAGAGAAACAAAATCTACTTTTACAATGAAAAGGAGGGAAAGGTTGTGATGTCTCCAATTTGCTTTTACACAGCTAGACAAAAACTAACCAAATTATATATATATATATATATGTATATATATATATATAAAACACACATATATGTACATATATATAACATATATAGACACACATATATGACATATATAACACCTATATATGTTATATATGCATATTAAAAATTCAATATACATAGCAGAATCTTAACATTTACTGAATTGGGTATACAGTTTGTTCATTATACTATCTTTTCTACTTCTTGATATATTCAAAATGCTTCTTCATAGAAAATTGGGGAAGGGGAAGAAATACTGTATAGACTCTGGGCCTTACCTCTGGCATCCAGGCCTTTTAAAAGACCCAAGATGACTGATACACTCTCAAGAATGAGAATCACTGATTCAGTGCCCACATTGAGCCTGAAACTGAGGTCTGGAGAGTTGAAATGACTTTCCAAGGGACAGAATAAACACTAGAATTCATGTTCCTTGGCTTCCAGTCTTGTGTTTTTTCTTATAAATCTGCAAAAGGAATTTCCTAAATAAAAAAAATTATCCTCTTGAACACCTGAAGCTCTTGTTTGTCAGCAGCTGAACGACACAAGGTAAGGAAGGATTTGGCCACCTAGAGGGTGCTCATTTGTTGGAATCTAGTTATGGGAAAAAAACCATCAGAGGTACCCAGGGCAAGGACAGTCCTAATTTTAAAAATTGAGTTGTATTGGATAACATTTTCTCTTTTTAATAATTTTATTACCTTCAGTGAGGATAATCCATGAGAATAAGTCTTTCGCTTGTTTGTAATATTTAATATGTAGATAAAACCACAGATTAGGAAAAACAAATCCTAAAATCCTGATTATTAGTTGGGAAATGAGGTTTTGGCTGAAGTACCTGGTGTTGCAGGTACTTGCAGGTTTCTTGCAGAGAGATGAAGATTGGAAGATGGTAAAGTGGTTAGGTCCCAATGTCTAGTGGGAAAGGCATGAGTCTTTGCAGTCAGACAAACTCTGGGTTCAGATTCTGACTTTGCCATTCACTAGTTTTGTGACATTAAGCAAACTATGTGACTGCTCTCAATCTCAGTTATTTGCCCCCTATTGCCAGGTAGGTGCTTAGATACAGCAGTTAAGATGCTCAGGGCCCAGCCCTCCTAGAAATCCAACACATAATCAAGGAATAGGGATATTCAGGTGGAGTTCTTAATTCTGGAGGGACTGAGAGTAGATGTTAACCAGATGGAGATGTAGTTGGGCTGGAGGAGGAAAACGAAGGCAACAATTTAAGGAAATAATGCAGAAGCCTGATAGCCTGGAGCGAGTGAGGAACATGCAGAGTTCCTCTAGCTTTAATGTAGTCGACTGCGATTATTTAGTGAAACATGTATGGAAAACATCTAACTCTGACCCAGAAGTAGGAGTTAGGGTCTGGGGCGCGAACCCCGAGCGATAACAAAGGTCTTCTCCAAAAATGAAAAGGACTCCACACCTCAGCACCACATAAGAGACACCTGCACTGGTAGAGACCACAAATAGGAGGCGGGCTCAGCCCTGAGGTTTATGTAGGGGGCGTGGCTGCGGAGAACTTCCGGACATCCTTTTCCGGAACAGGCCTGTGCCCCGGAAGCAGTTGTTTGTTGCCGGACCTTTGGGCCAGTTACCGAGTCTTCAGGGGGTACTGTCGCCATGTTCCTGTCGGCGGTTACGTGTAAGTGGGGCTGGAGGCGGCGGCAGGGCCTGCAGCGCGGACGGGAGGTGGTGACAGGCGGGCCCTGGGGCATTGCAGGGTGGAGTGCGCGCGCCGGTGGGGAAGCTGCCGCTGCGACTTCCCAGGCCTTCAGGACTACAGCACCCGGCATGCCCCGCGGCGCGCTCCCTGCGGGGTGAGTGGGTCTTGGAGGGTCTTCGGAGCAGATTTCGGGTTCGTTGCGGCTCATTCGGACGGTAGAGTCTGGCCGGCAGAAGTGGGGCTCTCCCTCGCCCTTAGTGGCGGTGTGTCAGCAGAATCGCTGGACGTGCTAACTGAGAAAACTTCAGAATTTTTAATTCACTCATTTCGAGTTCTCCAGGTGAGATACAGTGATTGATCCTAGGTCGTAACAGCGGGCTGGTAAAGAAGCCCACTGGCTCCCAAGACTGTTCTGCGGTGCACCAGGCTGACTTCCCGGATGGATTTAATTTCCTTTCTCCACCTGATGTGATGGTTGTTGAAGTTTGCATAGGTTAATTTACCAGAGAAAAGGCTTGTTCTAGTGCAAATATTTGCACCTTAGAAGAGGAGCAGATCTTACTTTGGGAAGATTTAAAAGGTAGTCAGTTCAACTGAAAAGAGATCGTGTAGGGCATTCCATCCAGAATTGTGGTGGTCCGATTGGATTTTTGAGAGGTTTCTATAAAATCCTAACGGGATCCCCAGTAGCTTGGGAGTAGTTACTTGAGTGACAACTTTTGACATATTTCATGGCTTAAATATTTTTATTATAATCTTAAAATTTGAGCTTTATTTGAATTTTGCATAAACAAAGATAATTGTTTTTTTTCTTTTCTATCCGACTTTTCCTGCCTATGAAAAAGTTGCCAAGAGCAAGTCAAAGTAAGTAGCAGTTTTTCTTTTTTTTTTTTAAAGCTTGTTTATGTTAGATTCATTAGTTCAGCTACTCTCAATGAATTCTTATGTTAAATTAAGCATTTGGCTTCAGTTTTCTAAAGTCTGATTTGAGGATTACACTCAATGAATTGTTTTGGCCCTATGAACTGTTTCCGAAAATATTTTCCCCTCCCAACTGATCTACTTAAGTGAGGTCTCAGTTAATTTACTTAAAAGTTGCTTTTGCTGTCTTGTTCCTAAAGAAATCATCAGGGTCCCCATGCTTTTTGGACTATGACTGCAGTTCTGTTTCCTCAAATTGAGGATCAGGGGCCATTTGTCTGGAGCTCACTACAGGAATATAGCAAAAAAAAGCTGTGACTTGACTATCCACCGAGCCAGTTTTGAGTTTTTTAATCTTTTGCATTCATGGTATAAGCATTTCAAAAATGGCAAAGGCTAGAGATTCCATGCTGTACCAGAGAGACTATTAATACCAAACTGGTATTTCAAAAATAAATTTTGTAGACAATAACTGAAGTAAGATTTTCTGTGTTAAAAATAGAAAAATTCTAAAACAGGCAGCATTTGTTTACAACCCAAGACACATAATAAATCCTTAAAGCTAGGTTTTCTGGATTAAAGTTAATGAAAAACATGTATGTTAGTATTCTTTCCTCAATATCTTTTATTGCTTTATATATATCTTTTCACATAATCCAGTTACTTATTTTTCTTCTTCACATTCTGGGGGAATCTGCTGTGTCTTCAGTTTCTTTAGAGGTGCGCCCTACCTCTCATGTTCTTTGTGTCCTTCTGGTGCCATTTATCACATATGTCTTGCCTTACAGACCTTGTGTACACAACTCACCTTCCATATTGTTAGTGTTACTTCTCCAGGGTGCAGATGTAGACTTAGAGGGCCTTGCATATAGTGCTTTCCATAGAGCAAGTACTTAATATTGTATCACTCTAATGCATGAAGCACTATGCTGAACATTGAAAGGGATGCAAAGATGTGTAATATATCTTAGGTGCTTCAAATTCTTTTTGGAATTAGATGAGAAATCAAATAGCATGATCTACACAGGAAGATTAGACACCTGAAAAAGTAACAAATAGTATGAGGTATTAAATGGTCCAGTGGGACAAAACACGAACTTTGTGCTATGAATGATTGTAACTTAAACTATGAAAGGGAACAAGGTTTTACACATTGTCAGTGTGAAAGTTCCAATCCCTTTATTCTGTTGCTTCTTGATTTCACTCTTACTGCTCATACGTGAAAGATAAAGCTCTTCGGAGACAACTATCTTCCTGACTGGCCTACTAGGGTTACCAGTTCTTGTGTATTTTCCTTGTCCTGATTTCTCCTCCTGAAATGTGGGGGTCTGAGTCTATTCCCACAATGCAGTTTGATTAGTCTTCTTGCTTTGGTTAGGTCATTTCTAAGGCACTCTGTGTAATGGAACAAATCCTGGGAATCAGAACCATTCTAAGACATAGACTATCTTAGAACTGAACTTAAGGTTTAATTGATGTTCCCACAAGTAATACTACTGTATAGTGTTCTCAGAATGTGCCATCCCCCCTACGACTGATTTTAGTCTATTTCCTTAGCTTGTAACAACTTGCTTTTAAATCTTAGAACAATTCTGGTGAAAATGGTGAGCCAAGCTGGAACAGGTTTTTCCTTCAACACTAAGAGAAGCCGACTATGGGAGAAACTGACTCTACTGCATTATGATCCAGTAGGTAAGATTCCAGAAAAGTTGCTCCATAATAAATTCAAGGCCTGTTGCCCTTTTCAGATGACATTGAACAAAGGCAGTTTTGTGGCCTGGTTTTGGAAGGGAGAGGAAGGAAGGAAGACAATTAATGCTTAGTGCCATGCGAGGAAACAAGCAGGATGCTGAGATACAGGATAGAGTTGCAAGGAGGTAGATCCCATCTTTATTCTTTAGGTAGGATAGTTCAGAGAATGTCTCTCCAGTAAGAGATAACTGAAGATTTGAAGGTGAAAAACCAGATATGTAAATATAATAGGCAATACTGTTTGGGAAACAGAAAGAGAAGTATGTCAAGGTTGAGTTGAATTATAAGACACTTGGTTGTTGGTTAGAGTTGGAATTGGTGCTAGAATCTTATTTCTTCAAATTAATCCATTACATAATGAAATATAGGCAGTTAACGTCATAATCCCTCAGGGAGGAAATGGCAACCCACTCCAGTACTCTTGCCTGGAGAATCCCATGGACAGAGGAGCCTGGCAGGCTTCAGTCCATGGGGTCGCAAAGAGTCAGACATGACTGAAGTGTCTTAGCATGCATGCCGTGTCATAATCAGTTATTTTGTTACTTAAGAACAAGGCCTGATAGACTCACTTCTGGCCAAGATGGAGCAATGGGACCAAATTTACCTTCCCTCCTGAAACAACAACAGAAGGACAATATAGGCAACAGAAGGCAGTGACCCTTGAGAGAAAGGAAACGAGTACTTGTGAATAATCAGACAAAATGGAATATTCTTTCTTCTTTGTTTACTTGCCTAAGTCTTCAGATACATGAATGCATCGCAACACAAGCACCCATACTCTCCAGGCAATCTGAACCCCATTTTATAGATGATGAGCTTGATGCCAAGGATTTTAGTTAAGGACACATAACTAAAATATGTGACAGAATAAAGATTTGAATTTAGGACCGTCTGACTCCAAAACCTAGGCCGTGAGGTCACTCTATGTATGAACCTCTTATGGAGAGAGGAGGCTAAAACTCACTTATTAGTGTGTGAGCTCTGGTTGGGCATTAGTACGAATCTGGCTGACAGCCACCTTAATAACTGCTTTCAGAATTTGTAAAGATCTTACAAACCTTTTATTATGCTGAATTCATCAAAATAAAAAATAATATCACCTTCAAAAAAATCAGGGCTGTACCAGTGTAAGGAGGCATTTAAAGAGGGCTCTGAGAGGGATTTCCCTGGTAGTCCAGAGGTTAAGACTGCTTCCACTGCAGGAGTGAAAGTGAAAGTGAGAGTCGCTAAGTTGTGTCTGACTCTGCAACCCCATGTGCTATACAGTCCATGGAATTCTCCAGGCCAGAATACTAGAGTAGGTAGCCTTTCCCTTCTTCAGGGGATCTTCTCAACTAGGGGTTGAACCCAGGTCTCCCGCATTGCATGTGGATTCTTTACCACCTGAGCCACAATGGAAACCCAAGAATACTGGAGTGGCTAGCCACATGCCATGTGGCCAAAAAAAAAAAAAAAATTGGTATGCGTTCCATTCTTTAACAGAAACAAAATTTCCTGCTGTTTCTATGATGTGAAACTTTCTGGTCATTCTTTAATAAAAAGGGAGTTCCAGGTTTGTCCCTGATGATTAGGAGTCTGAATTTCAGGATGATATATCTCAAATGATGAAAAATTATTAGAATGACAAGGTATATGTCTTAGTCTGGGTTGATATAATGAAGTACCACAGACTAGATGACTTATAAACAACACAGTTTTATTTCTCAGTTTTGGGACCTGGAAAATGCAAGATCAAGGTGCCAGCATGGTGACTTTCTGGTGAGGGCCCTCTTCCTGGTTTATAGGGGGGGGTTCTTGCTGTGTTCTGACATGGTGGAGGGGCAGGCAACCTCTGTGGGGTATCTTTTATGAGGATTCATCCCATTCACAAAGGCTCCACCCTCGTGACCAAAGCACCTCCTAAAGGCCCTACCTCCTAATACCATCATCTTTTCGGGTTAGGATTTCAACATAATTTTGGGGGTACACAAACTTTCAGACCAATAGCAATATGATATTAGATTGATGTGGTGGTTTTCTCTCTCTGATTTCTTTGTATCAGCTGGTGAAAACCCAGAGTGATGAACTTTATAATAAAGTGGTTTTCTAGCATTTTAGCTCTTTTAGAGCTTTTTAAGGAACTTGTACAACGTTAATAAATGTTGATTGAATAACCTTCTGTGAGATTTTAAGTGTGAAAATGTACTGGAATTTTCAGTCTTAGTATGGAGGTATTAGGAACTTTCTGTCAGATTGATTTTACATTTTGAGATCGGGAAAGGATAAAACCATAAACAGTTCTAACCATGAGTTGAAAGTGGAAGAAAATATTCATATATAAATTTTAGACAGACGATTAAAGCTTTTCTGAGAAGGGATCGTTGGTTCCTTGACAACACAACTTTTGTCTCTTCTGAAGAAAAGAATGTTCCGGGATAGCTGACTGCTTGGCTTTCTGCCCACCTACTGAATGCCCTGTAGGCTTGCATGATGTTTGCCTTGTGGCCTGCCCCATTGCCCAGGGTACCAAATAGCTTGGCAGTTGTCCTAGCATGTTTTACTGCAGTGAGAAAATGGTTTAAGGGTTTGGTTTAAGGGTAATGTTTTGCTTGTCTGTTTTACAAAGAAAATCAGGCAAGGAAACATGGAAAAATTCCCAACTGTGTGAGTACTTCATGGTATACTCTATGGCTAGAACCAGCCTGTGTCCTTTCACACTTCTTTCCTCATATGAAACTAGATGCAAATTTCCCAGGAGGAAGGATTAAAGGTTGAGGCATAAGTGTATTAAACTTTGTTAAATATATGAAGGTTTATTATAAAGAAAATGAAAACTTGTCAGTTTTAATTCCTTGGATGACTAAACAAGACAGTATAGGCTTTAATTGAAGCAGAATAGATTTAGGTTAGATGTAGGGCAAGAACTTGACAGATTCATTCTTCTATGAATTAAGCAGCAAATATTTTGACAGAAAATTAATTTATGTTTATGACTGTGGATAGCAGCGTGTCATTTGAACTCAGCTAACACATAGGGAGTGTTTGCTCTCTGGCAGCCCTGTGAGGGAGATGGAGTTATCCCTCTCATGGGGAAGAAAACTGAAGGAAGAGTATTTTGAGAAATTTGCCCAAGAACTTACAGTAGATAAATGGTGGAGGCAAGGCTTGAACCCAGTCTTTCTGATTCCAGGCCCCCTATTTTTTCTATTACATGGAGCCAATTTAGTCTGTTTTTTTTCTTTTTTAATCAGGACCTTCCCCTGCGATCAGTACTGTTGTTCTTACCTCCTGCCACCATTTGTCTAAACTAGATGCTCTTGCCTGTTAGTTCATCCAAATGCTTGAGAGCCTAAACTTGACCCTCTTTGTGAGATGCTTGCCTCACCATTCCAGTCCCTTTTAGTCTTTAGGTTCCTGTGGGGCTTACTGGATGTTCCTACAGGTACCTCATGGTATATTGGTACTAAATCAGGGACTCTTCTTACACTTTCATACATTCCACATTGCCTAGCACAGTTCTATGAACTTTTGAATTAAGGGAATGAATGCAGCAAGTATATCAAATTTTCATGAATAGTCTTCATCAGTTATTCCTATCCAGGGTCGCTTGAATAATCTCCTGACCAGATATCCATGAGACAAGTTATTTTTTTAATCCATTTTTTAGTTCCATGTGGAAAAACATGGAAATACTTCTGGCAGTGAATAACATTGATGGAAAGTTGTTTGGGTTCTTTACTACTGTCTTACAATGCTTTGTAGTCTTCCTTGGAATTTGAAGGAGCACTAGTCCTACTTACGTTTAATACTAGATCTTTTGAAATATATTAAAGATATTCCTATGTACAAAGTAATAAAATACATTATTAAATTTACAGATAAGTTTCTGTTGACTGGTTAATGGTTATTTTAGCTGCCATCAGAATCATCCTAAGAGTTTTAAAATATACAGACTTCCAGTCCCACTCTAGTTCTACAGAAATAGAATTAGGGTAGAGATGGAGGTAAAAGTAGGAATGTATTTAAATAAGCTCCCTAGCTAAGTGTTGATAATAGACTGGGGATCTCACACACAGGGTATCCATATTAATTATCAAAGAATAACAAAAAACAAAGCTAAAATTTCTTGTGTGGTAGGGACAAGTGAGTTCCTGTCATGTCATACATAGTCTTTGGAGTTCCTGGATCTTCCTTGGTGCAAAGAAGAATTCTTTTTGCAAAGAAGAATTCAGGTGGGGTGGTTGTGTGTGTGTGAGAGAGAGAGAAAAAGAGAGAGATGTGTGATGTTAGTGGAAAGCTATATAGGGCATTACAGGAACTATCAAAACCTTATTGCCTAGCATCTAGTCTCTAATCTTTCATCCAGGCAGTGAGCACTTTTGTTTGGTGTGTTTCAGAGAACTGTACTCTGTTATGATATTCATAATAATAAGATTTGGGTTATAATAGTAAATCTGTACTTGGGTATATGAAACCATTTCTGGAAAGTACAAGGTTTAATGTGTATTTACTCTTTCAGCCAGGCTTCCTTTTCTTCTGTGGTCTGCTCAGTTTTTCCATTCTTTTCCTGGAGTCCAGCTTTTTCCTACAATCTGTCCTTGCTTTACCTCATACAAGAGTGGGCATTAGCTGAGTGAAGATATTTTTTTGCCTGTAATTGTCTTTTTTTAATTTGAATATTTCACATTGGTTAAATGTGACTTTGTGGGTTATCAGGGATGCCACAGGTTGGCTGATGGGCCTTCCCTGTTTTTCTTACCATTTTTTTCCAGTCCTGTCTGGTCTCTGGGATCAGTGAACTGAGTTTGCAAGTCAGCTTCATCCTCATGACAAAGGAAAGTAAAAGAAGAGAAAGGAGAGGGCTCATGTCTGATGTGTATTTTTATTAAAAAATGCTGATGATACTTTTTAGTTTTCTGCTACAATCCTTTTCTCTCCTCCTACAGTGAAAAAAAAAGTCCTCTTTGTGGAACAGAAAAAAATACGCTCCCTCTAAACAATGGATTGAAAATGAATTTGATTTATAAATGAGAAGATCGAGGGTGGGATACTGATTCAGAAATTCTGCAGCGTGTAATAAAAGAAGAGGAAATAGCACGGAATCACTGCCTCCTGTGATTTGAAGGCCATTGTGAAGGAAAACAATGCAGTGAAAACAAGTTCTTCATATTAGGACATATACCATTGCATCACATTTATTTATCTTTCTGGATATTTTTATAGCCCTTAATAAAATATGTTAAAATAGCCTGTGCTATTGTCTCTTGGTGATGTTTTCCCCCACTATTTGAAATTTAAAAACTACAGTACTAAAAAATAACCATTGTTTCATATAAGAAAAGAAAATTTTCCATAGTGAGATTTGTGCAAGAGTTTCCAGTCTGCCCTCACTTGTACTTCACAGAAAAGGCAGGGTCATGGTCCAGAGAGATCTTGAAAGAACTCCTGTGCGATAGCACAGATGGCAAAGGGAGCAGGAATGAAAGGAGGAAGCCAGCCTGTTAACACAGAAAAAACCAAGAGAACTTCTGTTTTTGATCTGTGCTTATATAATTAGAAAAATGCCAGTGGTCCACACTCTCAAACTCAGGTCACCAAAGCAGTATCTAGGATTTTCTAGGAACAGTTTGGACTACTTCTAGAATTTTTTCTTTTAATTAAGAGGTGCTATAGTGTATTTCCATAAAGCTCATGGCTCATCTCCTGGGGCAGTGGTACTACACAGCCAACCAGCTTGGAAGTTGCACTGATTATCCCAAATGTACAGGTAGGACTCCTGCCCTACCCAGATCTGTACGCTTTCCCACCCAAGCTATTGTTTACCACAAGTTTTCAAAATTGCTCATTTCTCTGTCAAATTTCTCGTTGAAGGTAAGGATCAGCTCATATTTTGAGCTCTGCTGGTATGTATCCTATAGCATTTAAAGCATTTACAGGGGAGAAGGATGGAGTGTCCACCATGACCACAAACATTAAAAAACCTGTGCTGTTGTTTATAATAGCCAGGGCATGGAAACAACCTAGATGTCCATCAGCAGACGAATGGATAAGAAAGCTGTGGTACATATACACTATGGAATATTAGCCATTAAAAAGAATTCATTTGAATCAGTTCTAATGAGATGGATGAAACTGGAGCCCATTATACAGAGTGAAGTAAGCCAGAAAGATAAAGACCAATACAGTATACTAACGCATATATATGGAATTTAAAAAGATGGTAACGATAACCCTATATGCAAGTCAGAAAAAGAGACACAGATGTACAGAACAGGCTTTTAGACTCTGGGAGAAGGCGAGGGTGGGATGTTCAGAGAGAACAGCATTGAAACAAGTATACTATCAAGGGTGAAACACATCACCAGCCCAGGTTGGATGCATGAGACAGGTGCTCAGGACTGGAGCACTAGGAAGATCTAGAGGGATGGGATGGAGAGGGAGGCGGGAGGGGGGATTGGGATGGGGAACACATGTAAATCCATGGCTGATTCATGTCAGTGTATGGCAAAAACCACTACAATATGGTAAAGTAACCTCCAATGAATAAAAATACATGGGAAAAAAAAAAAGAAACTTGTGCTGTTCCTGAGTAACAGGTGTTCCCTCCCTGTGGCCCAGTCTTGTCTCCTGAGGAAATGTGAGCACGCCTCTCTGGAAATGGAATTAGACAGTTGTTGAGTCTTAGAGGCTTACGGCATTAGTCAGTCAGCTATTTTTCTGGCATCTTTTGTGAAAGCTCTAATTGAAAGCAATAATAGGTGAGATCTTAGCTATTTTTATATTGAAACTCTACATTGTGGTATTGGGTTACAAGAAAAATCCTTCACTTGATTCTACCTAAACCCAGTGTAAAGGGGCTGTGACATGCCAAAATCACTTAAAAAAAAACAAAAACCCAACTTAAAATCTGGCTTAGCAAATGACTTGTTTATTTAGCACATAGGCTAAAAGTGGCCCACAGGTGGTGTTTACAATGTTAAAAAACTCAGTTGCTGATACTTAAATGTTGAAAGATTTCAATAAACATGTAAACTTCTGGCTTCTCTTGCAGAACCAGAAGCTCTGACAACACTCAAGGCAAAGCTGAATATCAGCTGCCCTTCTTAGGAACTGCTTGTGTGGCCCAAGTCATCTTTCCCTTATTTAACATTCTCTGCTCTGATTCTAGACACTGTTGCTCGAAAATTCTGCTGTTTGGTGTACATAACAGTATTCATGATGTGTTGGCAGTAGAGTTTGCTGGTTCCTGAATGGTGGGGTTGTTTGTACAGGTCTTTGTTGTAGTATCCTTAATTCTGTCTAGTTGACTTTTGCATGAAAAGCAAAGAAATCATTATAAAGAAATAATTGAAGGCTTGAGGATGACTTGGTAAATGAACATAATATTTGCAAAGAAAGGAGGTGACATTTTATAGTAAGCTGCTAATTAACAGTGACCATCCCTAAGTACATTTTATTTCCAGGTATATTTACTTTGGAGTTAATAGCAATCAAAATAGATCAAGGGGTAGGTCTTTTTTGTATGGATAAGATGACTGTGTTCCTGTGACCTGGACACTGACCGCTGCGATGAAATTAGATCTCTTGAGCATTTCTTCCAAGGACAGATTTGAGTAGTAAGCCAGGTAGAAGGCCAAAGCTCCCACAAAACTGTCACCAGCACCCTGTAATTCAAAGCACATTTGTAGAGAGAAGCATATAGTCATTTGTCGCCCAGTCTGTGTTTTCAAAATATTTAAATATACTTTTAACTTTAGTTTTATATTTACAGAAAAGGTACAAGGGTAGTAGAGATTCCACATAGCACACAGCCAATTCTGTAAACATATCACTAGGGTACATTTGCCACCACTAATTAAATAACAGTGTTAATAGTATTAACTAAACTCCGTTCTTCATTCTGGCTTCCCTGATGGCTCAGTGGGTAAAGAATTGCCTGAAAAGCAGGAGATAGAAGAGATGTGGGTTTGATCCTTGGATGGGAAAGATTCCCTGGAGGAGGATATGTTAATCTTCTCCAATCCTTGCCTGAAAAAATCTCATGGACGGAGGAGCCTGGTGGGCTAGAGCCCAAAGGCTCATAAAGAGTCAAGACACGACTGAGTGAACACACATACACAGCCATACTTCATTTGGATTTCATTAGTTTTGCTTAGTGTCTTTTTTCTGTTCCAAGATCTCATCCAGGATACCTGAATTACATTTCACTGTCATATCTCCTGAAAGTCCTATAGGTTGTGACAGTTTCTTAGACATTCTTTGTTTTTGATGACCTTGATAGTTTTGAGGACTGGTTGAGTATTTTGTAGAATGTACCTCCATTGGGATTTGTGTCTGTTTTTCTCAAGATTAGACTGTGTTTATGGTTGTAGGGAGGAAGACCACAGAGGTGAAGTGTCATTCTCATCAGAGCATAACAAGGGTACATACTGTCAACATGACTTAGCACTGTGTTGATCACGGTCGCTTGGCTAAGGTAGTCTGTCAGCTGTCTCCACTCTAAAGTTACTTTGGTCCCTCTTATCACACTGTGTTCTTTGGAAGCACATCACTAAGTGTAATCCACACTTAAGGGGTGGGGAGTTATGCTCTACCTTCTTGGGGGTTGAGTATCTCCATAAATTATTTGGAATTCTTCTCTATGGCAGATATGTTTCTTTCCCCTCATTTATTTATTTAACTTTATTTATCTATCAGTATGAACTCAGGGATATTTATTTCATTCCTTGGGCTATAATCCAACACTACACTATTTTGTTGCTCAAGTAGTTCCAGCTTTGACCATTGGGAGTTCATTCATCTGGCACTTGTGTCCTGATAAACTCTCATCATTTTGTTTTTTGAGTGCTTTCCTTATTCTCTGACATTATAAGATGCTCCACACTCATCTTGTATATGCTCTGCCCTAGCGCTCGAATTAGCCGTTTCTCCATTAAAAATTCATCAAGGAAGTGGTGAAAGGCATTCAGATGTTATTTTCAAACTAAATGTAGGGACATATAAGGCTTATTCCATTTTCCCTGAATTTCCAAAGGCCTACATTGGTGAAGGCCATATAGGAACTCATGGAAACAAAAACCACCAAAGAAAGTCTGTTGACCTCGCCTTCAGATTGGGCAATACTTAGTCATGTGTTCATCCAACAAATGTGTTTAAAATAAATCTGATGACACAATTTCACTTGAAAATCACTCTGGTATTTAACAGCTTTCAGGGTCACTGTCCAGTTTTCCCCAGTTTGTTGCTTCCTTAGTCCCAAGGGCTTTCATAACAAATCTTGAGGCTCTACTCGAGCCTTTATAAAGAGCCTTGGTATGCAGTACTGTTTCAGTTGCAATTTAAGTATTTAATGAACTATGTGCCTAGAACAGTGATGGGTATTTGAAAAACAGTAAAAAAAAAAAAAAAAAGAAAGAAAAAGAAAAACAGTAAAATCCATTGTGGATTAAATGCTAATATGGCAGTACTTTACATATACTGTTGGACTACAAGGAAGGGTTTGAGGAAAGCCTGCTTAAGGGGAGTCCTTATGAAATGGGACAGATTTATAGGGAGAAGGAAGGCCTTAGAACAAAGATATAGGAGGCGGAAGGAACTGAGTGAGCTCATGAGACAGTGAATGGCTTTAAGGAGAATGACATTTCCCCTTGTTTACACAGATAAGCCGTCAATATTAAACTTGCCAAGGAGTCATAGTAACACAGGTGTGAATTCAACACTTTCCTTCCTCCCATAAATGTTTTCTGAGTACCGAAAATATGTCAAGCACTGTGCTAGGTGCCTTAAAATTGTTTATTAGTGTTTCCTAATGGAAACAATGGAAAAAGAGACAGACATGCCCTCCCTGAGTTTGGAGCACAGCAGTGTGACAATAGACAGGCCTGAAGCAGAGAAATTATGAGCTAGGTCGAGGGTGTATTATGAAAACATGGGAAATACTACAACATATGAAGAGTTATGGCAAACCCTTTTTTTTTGGCAAACTTAAGATTTCACATCTTCATTCCTCCTTATAGCATACACAAAGTTAAACTCCTGGTAGGTTAAAGGCTTGAATGTAAAAAAATAAAACTAATATAATATGAAAATTTAGATGAATATTTGAATAATTCCAGGCAAGGAAACCATAAGCAAGTCACTAAACCCAAAAACCATGATGAAAAAAAAGAACAGATTTAATTTATAAAAATTAAAAAAATATATGTCCAAAGACACTGTAAATAAAGTTAAATGAGGGACTTCCCTGGTTGTTCAGTGACTAAGACTCTGTGCTTCCTCTGCAGGGGGCCCAGGTTCAAGCCCTGGTCAGGGAACCAAGAACCCACATGCTGCGTTGCTCAGGCAAAAAAAAAAAAAAGCCAAACGAAAAAGTATAAAAATTTGGTGAAAATTCTAGTATATATGACATGTTCCTAATATTCAAAGAACACCTTCAAATTACTGGGAAAAAGACAAATCCAGGATAAAACTGGGCAAAAGATACAGGTTTGCAACTTCAGAAAAGGAAAAGTAAATTGCCAATAAACAAGAAAAGATGCCACGTTATCAGCTATTAAAGAAAATTCAAATCAATAGTTTTTACCCATCAGACTGATAAAAGAATAAGATTGATAGCAAAAGCAGCAAGATGAAGATAGAGAGGACAATGATACTCTCATATAATACATTTGTTGGTTGGAATGGAGAAGAGCAATACAGTATTTGTTAAAAAATGTGTATGTCTTTTGATCAGTAGTCTTGCTTCTGGAAATCTACAGAAGTGAAAGCTCTTATATATTGGGATATATGCTCAAAGATGTTTACTGCTGCATTGTTTCTAAAGACAAAATACTAGAAATAATGATTTTCTATCAAATAGGAGAATGGATGAATAAACTTATACTTTTGTATTACAGAAAAAATATGCAGTTGTTAATATGGAAAGGTTGTATTACAGAAAAAATATGCAGCTGTTAATATGGAAAGGTTAGCAGTATATGTACATACCTGGAGAAATGTCCACTACTTGAGGCAAAAAAGATTTCAATATCATGATCCCATGGCGGGTTGGTGGGAGAAAAAAGAAAAACACCTGTGCCTAGAGTATGTATGCATTTTTTAAAAAAAGAATACAGAAAAAATCAAGAAGGGTATGTATCAAATTGTTAAAATTTATTTTTCTTATCTGCAAAGAATGGCAAATTCTTCGTTTTCCTATCTACTTTTATATTATTGTTTAACCTTGTTATTTAAGCTTACTGTTTTAAGCTTGTAATACTTTTCCAAAAAAATTTAAGGCAAGAAGCATATTAATGAGAAGTTAAGTCATGCCTCTGTGCCTTGCTCATTTTTAACTTGCAGCCTAACCAGAGCAGAGGCACAGGGCTGACAGGAAACATTCTAGCACCAATGAAGACATTAGTCTTACATACTCCTGTCAGCTAATAGGGCATTTGACTGCAAAGGAGATTTTTAAGAAAGTTTAAAAAATACTGTACCTATATCTGAAAAGACTCTACTAGATCACTTAATATTTTCCCACTATAGCCAAAGTCATGGAAACACAGTGCTTGGTAGAACTGTGTGTGCCAGAAGCATTATTTCGGCACCAACAATTTTTACAGCTTGATTTACATTTATTCTCAGTGCTATACAGTGTGTTGGTAGACAGCAAAGGCAAATCCTTTCTGTATTAAAAAAAGGGTTTTTTTTTTTTTGCAAAGAAAACTGTAGCCTAGATGAAAGAAAACCGAAGTCTAGATGACTTCACTGGAGAATTCTAGCAAGTGTTTAAGCAAGAAACAATACTAATTCTACATAAATTCTTTCAGAAAATAGAAGAGACAAGGGAACACTTCCCAAGTCATTTTATAAGGCCAGCATTACCGTGGTACCAAATTCAGACAATGACATTACAAGGAAAAGCAAAGCAAAACAACAGATCAGTTTCTCTCATGAATATAGGTGTATAAACCTTAAAAATTTTAGCAAATTGAATATATATCATGACCAAGTAGGGTTTATCCCAGGAATGCAAGACTCGTTTAACATTTTAAAAAAAGGAATTCACTATATTAAAAACCTCAAAACATTGTATATTACTTATACTAAAAAAAAAAAATAGAAGCAGAAAAAGCATTTGATAAAATTCTACATTCATTCATGATAAAAATTCAGTTTGGAATAAAGGTATAACTTGATCTTCTTGCTAAAGAACATTTATGAAAAATCTATAGTTAACATCATTCTTAATGAGAAAGACTGAGAGCTTCCTCCTCTAATACTGAAAACAATTCAAGGATTTGTTCTCACTGTTTCTGTTCAGCATCATACTGGATTTCCTTGCCAGTGCAATCAAAAAGGAAAAGCAGGAAAAGGTATACAGATTTGAAAGGAAGAAGTAAAACTCTTACTATGCAGATGGCATAATCACCTATGTAGAAAATCCTAAGAAATCTAAAAAAGTTACTAGAAATAGTGGCTTTAGCAAGGTAACTAATATTAAATCAATTTTATTTCTATGTACCAGCAATTATTAATAATAATCATAAGAAATTAAAATTATCAAAGCAATAGCATTTGCAATAGCATAAAAAATATGTTGTCAGTTCTCCCTAAACTGATTTATAGACTCAATGCCATTTCAATAAAAACCCTAGCTTGCAATTTTTCGAAACTGGCAAAC